GGGCGCTAAAGAAGCTCCGTGCGAGGGAGAAATCATTGCAGGCCTCCTCCGCTGGGTTTCCACCATAGAACCGTGCCCTGCACCTCTGGGTGCTCCTGCCCGTCCCCGGTCCCCCCCCCACTTGCTGGCTGCCTCCGTCCCCGGGGGTGCCCGGGGTGGCAGTGGGGGTGCAGGGACGGCTCAGCCCCGGGAGCGCTGCGCTCCCACAGGTGTTTCTGTGCAAAGTTTGCCTTTGGTGCAAACAAGAGCAGGCACATGTCCCTGAGGAGCCTTTGCAAAGAGCTCGTGTTTGCTCTAAGAGAGGCCTTTGTACTTGGAGAGGGAGCCAGGTAGGGGAGTCGGGAACCATTTATTGCACCCATGCACGGGGGCGAAACCCCCTCTGCTCCCACTCCCCCGGCGTCACCGGCCTGGCCCCCGGACCGCCTCGGACTCGGGCTATTCTCACGTCCCTGGGGGTGCTCAGCCCCGCAGCTATTTTTGGGACCGTGGTGCGTGGGCGCCGACAGGAATTGCCCACCGCTGTGCCGTGGTCCCGAAGGGTTCGCCCTGGCCGCGGCCCCTCGGCAAGCAGCGCCTTCCCTTGGGCCCGTTCATGGCGCCCAAAGGGCTTCAGCTGCTGCGGGTGGGAGAGGAGAGGGTGCTGCACCGCGGCCCCGACGCCGGCACGGCGGTTTCTCGCAGAGCCCAGCCAAAGGGGTGCCGGCGGCACGTGGAGCCCTGCTGCGGGGCGAGATGCCCCATGGCTCCCTCCCTGCCCCATCCCACTCGCCGGGGCTCGCCCAGACCCCGCTCGGGCCAATAATATATTTATTTGCGCCCAGATCCCATGGGACTGGGGACCGGGGGAACGCCACCCAGCCGGAGATGCCCCAAAGCTGCTCCAAAAGGTGCGGGGAGCAGCGGGCGCAGTGCTCCCCGCACCGATTCCCTGTGTGCACAGGGAGATGCAGATTAGATAGATCATTTCTGCAGGGAGCTGAGTTTATAATCCATCCGTATAAATTCTTGGCATATTTCTCCGAGGATGTGGAGTGTATTTACCTGTTTTTAAGGTTGACAAAAGGGGGTGAGTGGGTCCGGGAATCCTTAGGGAGAGGAACGGGCTTCGCCCCCCACCTGCGCGTGAGGCTGAGGGTGGGAAATGCCTCTTTCTTGGTCGGCGGCAGCGGCCGGGCTTTGTCGGGGTTAATTTTGTGCAAGAAAAAAACACCTTTCCTTGATTTCGGGGGAGAAAGACCGCGGAGCCAGGGCTATAAACTGGTTTTCCGGTATTACAAAGCACTCCTGGGTTGGGTTGGGTTTTTTTTTGTGTGTGTATGTGTGTAAAGTCCTGGTGAAGATTGAACAATTAATATTTTTTTTTTCGTTTTGGTGACAGAACCAAAAAAAAATGGGCTTGTGTTGAATCAAAAGGTTTTCCTCTCTGGCTTTTTAGGTTAACCAAAAAAGAAAAAAAAAAAAAGGCCAAACAAACACTCAAAGTTTCATTTTGGGTCAAGTCCAAGCATTTTGTTTAACATGAAACAAAATGTTTGGGTTTGGTTTCAGGTTGTTTAACCCTTTTGAATATGGTCAAGTTGATTTGTAAAGAAAAATCACCGCTCGGAAATTAAGAGCCAAATAATTGTTTTGAAAGTGTAAGTGTAAAACGCGCTGGAAATACCAAGGTGAAGCCTTTCTTAAAATAATAAAATGGAGGGAAACTCAGGGACTTTTTTCCTCATTCTCATATAATTTTTTCCAGCCAAAATGCTGCCAAATTTTATTTAAATTCAGAAATCACATCTGTAACCCCCGAGTCGCTTGCTTGACTATTTAAAAGCGTGCTCTGGTGCACCGCCTCGTGATTTAACTCTGGGAAAACGGTGCCCTTGGCTTAGTTGTGAACCAAACTGCTATTACAAACAATAATGAGCTCTGTTCCATTAACTTATTATTAATCAGTAATTAGCAGGATCAGTTAGGTGACACGAACTGCTGGTGACAAAAGTCGTTGCGAGCCCCTTGGCTTGGGCACGGTGCGAGGCACGGCGGGCTTTGTCCTGCATGGCCGGGAAGGAGCGCGCGGAGGAGAGCTGCGGTGGAAGGACATTTTCTTCACCACCTTCTCGTTGGCTCCCACCTTCTCCTGGAGCAGCATGAAGACCCGAGAGCCCCAAAACCCCCTGTACCGCGGCTGTCCGCGCCA